AAAAAAAAAACAAAAAAAAAAAAAAACCCAAAAATTAAGAAAACAACGGAGGAACAAACCACGAATTGTAAAGAAATCCTATCAGATCAATTTTTTTATAAATCGATCAAAGTCGTAAAGGTGTTGTTTTTTTCTAAAGGTGTTTTTTTTTTTTTTTACAATTATTATTATTATTATTTTGTTGTTAATGATTTAATCCTGGTCGTATAATCACTCTATTCAAAACAGCAGACTCTGATAACTTTTCCATAACAAATATATTTGAAAATAAAATTTTCATTCCGTTGTTTAAAAATGTGTGTGTGTTGGGGAGGGGGGGGGGGTGGCATTGCAAGTCTCCAAGGTTCTCACCTTTTGAAAATAAAAGTTGACCTAACACAATCTATGAGAAACATAAATAAAAATAATATGATTTTATCAATTTGAAGGAAAAAAAAACTAACATCTAATTTAAGGGTGTCTACCCCTACCCTGAGTGGTGGAAACGAACCCCCACCTCTCTTGACATTGGACTTTTTGTCAAGTATGTGTGATGGTCATGCAAGTTATGATATTGGTGTTTATTTCGGGAGTAGACGATGATTTTAGTCATGCACAAATAGTTAAGTTAACAAATAGTTAAGTTAACAAATAGTTAAGTTAACAAATAGTTCGTACGTTGCTTGACTATTAAATAATATTATTGATAACAGACTATTGCAATTTCGTGAATAGCTCAAGAATTCTTCAAATATTTCAGCAAATCAAATTATCGAATTAAGTGTTGTTGTTTTTATAAAAAAATGAATTTCAGTAGGCCTACAATTTTAATTTTAGTCACAATTCCAATACTCCAGGAAAGGCATATAGATGGCTGTGTTGTGGGAAGGCATATAGATGGCTGTGTTGTGGGAAGGCATATAGATGGCTGTGTTGTGGGAAGGCATATAGATGGCTGTGTTGTGGGAAGGCATATAGATGGCTGTGTTGTGGGAAGGCATATAGATGGCTGTGTTGTGGGAAGGCATATAGATGGCTGTGTTGTGGGAAGGCATATAGATGGCTGTGTTGTGGGAAGGCATATAGATGGCTGTGTTGTGGGAAGGCATATAGATGGCTGTGTTGTGGGAAGGCATATAGATGGATGTGTTGTGGGAAGGCATATAGATAATTTAAAAAAAATATGGAGCATGTTTTATTTTTTTTCTCCCCACATTAATTTTGTTACCTGAAGAAATTCAAAAGCAGATTGGAAGCAAATGGTTCCTTCTCCCACCCCCCCCCACCCCCGTGTAGACGCCCTCTAATCTAATGAACATATCTGCATTATACAAGTTCATACGGGAGCAATGTGTGTATGTGTGCGTGTGTGTGTCGTATGTGTGACTGTGTGTGTTTTGTTTGTGGTATGTGAGTGATTATGTTTGTGTTTTTTTGTTGTTGTTGTTTTTTTAGCAGGCCTATGCCTACTATATTCTGCAGTAGCAGCACAAGAAAATGATAACATAAAGAAGTTGCATATAAACACGTTCAAAAATTTTTAAACTGCTTATTTATTTTTTAACCATCGATTCGAGAGTCCAACTATGATTATTTTTCCGAATCCCCAAATGTACAAAAGTCACTTTAAAAAAAAAATATTTTTTTCAGAATGCTCAATTTTGAATGTTAGAAATGTAATCAGCAATTAATAGAATACCTTTTACTTTCATATATTTAAGTTATCAATGTTTTTTACCTACAGAAAACGCAGTAAAACCAGCACTCCGAGTGATGTTAAAAATATGGATTACTGGCAGAAGAGACGGAAGAACAACGATTCTGCACGCAAGTCAAGGGAATCTAAGAAAGAAAAGGAGAAAAACTTTTACAAAAGAGCTCTGGAATTGGAGTATGAAAACTTCTACCTGCAAGAGTGCCTGAGTCTAGCTGAGGCAGAACTGGCTGCCCTTGGACACCAGTTCGTCCCCCCAGTGTTTGGCCACCACAGTCAAAACAGTTGTTACTAAGGAAGCCGTAACGGTGTCCTAGTTACTGAAGAAAAACATGTTGTTGCAAATGTAAATTGGGGCTTTAAACATGTTTACACAATATTTTTGGGGGGACGCTGCAAAGTGCATGTACCCCATTTTCCTGTTTCCACCGTACAATGATTAGTCGTGTTTTCAGTTTTGTTCTTGTCCAAAAGCTAAAATGGTTCTATGTTTTGTCACAATTAAAAGTAGTGTGTGTGTGGGGGGGGG